AATAATAATAATAATAATAAAGCAACAACAAACAAGAAATAAGAATTCCTCGGTGTTTAGCAACTGAAAGCATTCCTGCATTTCTTTATTCTGGTTCCAGCTGGATAACGCTCATGGCTTGGCGGTATAGAGCCTTGTTCATTATGTCACTGTACTTTTTCCGCCCATTGCAACATATTTGAGTCCGTAAAAGAAAAACTGAATATAATTACTAAAATCCACCAGAACGTGCTTAAAACTTTCAAATATGAATTTGGTGTTGAGAAGATTCCTCATGGGGATTATATTTAGCTCTACAAACTGGACAGGAAAGCTGTACTATATTATACAGTTTAATCACAACCAACATTGTAAATTACTTTCTTCGTTTGCTGTAAGTCTGTCAATTGCGGTCAAAATAGCCTCCTATTCTCTCCCCTCTATTCATAATAAAAAATTTCAAGACACGGATGATAACATATTGTCACGTGTTAGGGTTTTGAGTGACTTATACACAGACGGGTTCCTGGTCGGATTTACTGACACCTTGCTCTCACAACTCCGAACTATGGGCAGTACAGCGCTATCGCTATTCTACAGACTTTCCAGTTCCCCGTTACACACGTGATACGGTTCAGCCTTCACTAGTCGTTCCCTGGCAAAGGATTTATAGCAGTCTCACTGTAACTTCAAATCACACATGAAGTCCTCTTTTCACATCCTAATTCATTTCTTGCCATTATTCTGCAACTGCCAACCTCTGCTCCCAAGCTCATGTCCGGACAGGATGGCGTCTCGAAACTCGACTCCATTCTATGTCGTTCCTGCCAGCTTCAGAACTCTTCTTTATAAAGTCTTTGCACGGACCACGCAGAAAACACAACCCTCTACTGTTGGGAAAGCGTGTTTACAGCGCAGTTGCATAGCAATGAAAATTATTCGATTGTTGCTTGCGTATTCGTTGTCATGGGAATGTGTTCAAAGAGTCGTTGCCTAGCAATGAACATATATTCTGACTTCACTATTCTGTTTTTCGGGAGTCGTGTCACAATATACGAGTATTATAAAGAAGTCGATTGAGACACTCCCGAAAATCTTTCGGTCGGTCGGTCGGGCAAGAAAGGAACAAGTTTTTCGTATCACCTTGCACTGCGCATGCTTGAACTCGTGGCAGAATCAACAAATCACAGACAAAACACGCTCAGAACATGAGAGATGTCGGAAATGGTCCATACTGCTACGAAGACATTCCTTGCACCTTAGTAAAAGTTCACATTCATGCGTTGAGTTCCTCCTCGTAAATAGAAATTTTACACCAGTCTTCCCCACAAGGCGTCTGGGGGGTTTCCAAGAGAAATGTTCAAGCCTAGCACAGATCTCATCCAATTTCTCTTCAGGGAGTACTTGGTGTTTCTATCTGAATCTTTTCCTGTCCAATGATGACATTCTCTAAATGTATTTATGACTGTATGAACAGACTTCGTTTGGAAATGTAACATCCCGAAATTCATTTCCGAATCTCTTCCTTGCTTTTCAAATGGGTATCGTACGTGAACATTTGTTTCAATGAGTAACCTTCACATCGCATTTCGACAACAGCAGGCCGTGCCATCATTCAAGTTTGTCACCAGTTTCCCACCTCGGCGTTCCGGAATTGATCCCCGGTCAGGTCATGTGGGATTTGTGGTGGACAAACTTGCATTCGGGCAGACTCTCTCCGAGTACTTCGTTTCCCCCTTCCAGTTATGGTTCCATCAACTGCTCCCCATACAATACTCACCGAACCACAGACACTATGTCTCCAGGATGAGAGCGCCATTAAACAATAAACAAACAACAAGCGAAGCGACGGACTAAATGTTTAATACAATAGCAGGTGCTTGGTATTATACAGTTATAGCATGAAAGGTAAAAAGGAGAGTTGTTCCTGTGCTGAACTAATTATTATTATTATTATTATTATTATTATTATTATTATTATTATTATTATTATTATTATTATTATTATTATTATTATCATCATCATCATCATCATCATCATCATCATCTCCTGTGGGCGCAACAGCCCATGATGAACCTTGGTCTGTTTTGCAGTTTCTTAATCATATAAATTGACCTAATCCTTCCGGCCGCACTATGGCCCAGGGGTCGACTCAGCCTCTAACAGAAATGAGTACAAGGAATCTTCATGAGTGGTAAAGCGCGGCCGGCGCGTAAGGCTGATAACCTTACCGCCATCTTTGAGCCGACTGTCTAGATAATGTGGGACCCTCAACGTCTCACAACCCTATGGGCCTTCACGGCCTGTTACAGGGATAGCTTTACTTTATACACAGTCGGTAGGACTCCTTGGGCATGGGATCAGCCCATCACAAGGCCGCTAACTACACAAAACAACACTAAATTGAGTATCCTACTTATATAGTATTCACATCTTTATGAAAAACTAGCCTGAAGTTTGTCACTCTTGTACTATTTCGGTTGAGTGGTTTACTATTTGTCTTAAATGTGTCTTACCTGATAGGGCGAGTTTCTGACACGCTAGTTTCAAATCAGACCCCTCAGGAATCCCTTGGAATCCCAGAAGATTGCCCAAATTCTCAATGCCTTTTCGTACAGTTTCTGAAGCTTCCTCTAACGTAGATTTAGTACACTGCATCGGTTCCAATCCATTTTTGTCTACTGGATCTGCACATTTAGGATTTGTCCGAGAGTTGCAGGTATAACAATGAATGCTCTCGCCTGTAACATGTTACAAATTCACATGTAAATACTTGCTCATAATTTAATATTCTTTTAAACTGCGTAACACTACAATACTCAGATATTTATACAAAATATACATTCTGACAGATTATGTTTTATAAACTGATTAATTACTATGATATTAAAGCAAGTGTCACGTAACTTCGAATAAGGCCAAGAGTAACCTTGAATGCGCACAAGAAAAATTCCAGACAAGGGGG